TTTGTCCGTTTTCGCTCTAGTTAAGTTTTTCCGACGGCGATTATTTATTCGTCGAATAGTCCTTAAAAAACATATTCAGAATACATATTAGAATACTTTTTTCAAAACTAATTTTTGCCAGTTTTTGTATGGTTGGTAATTAACATTTATAAATTAATAATTAAAAAAGCGGGTAAGTGGATGTCGCTCTGCTGTACAGTAGGTTACAAGTGGGTCATTGTATGATGGATTGTATTAAACTTGAATTCAATGATATTCTATTATTGTATAGGAAAAACGATTCTGAGCGGAGACGGTTTGTCAGTCTAGATATTTTATATTGTCATTAATTATTATATCATATAAGTTGAATAATATTACAATATTATTATTTTTATTCGTTTCTATGGTAAGAAACAAAGCGTTAGAAATTAAAATCCAATTTTTTTTCGTAATTTTTCGGTGGTTTTAAATTACTATTGATAAAATCCAAAAATGACCCTTCTAAAGTACCATGTTGATAAAATTTGCTAAAAGATAAGGTACTATATGTTGAAATCGAATTACTAATTACTCCTTCTGGTAGAGTTTTTGTATACAGGATATAAAAAGAAGGAAAAAAAACCATTGTAAAACCACTAGCTTCCTCGCTCCGCTCAGAATCTAAAATACATCGTCAACATAAGTTATTTATACATTTTGACCACATTTAAAAATAATCATATCATGGCCAATATTATATTTCGTTCAAAGAATAAAATTAATGTTCATGATGTTCATGATAAAGCTATTTTTCTGGATCGGAAAAAAGTATTTTTTTAATGAATAAAAAATACAAATAAAAGTATTCGTATTTGAATACTTTAAAAAAAAAAATATTTAAAATAGTTTTATTTGAAAACTTTACAAGACTGAATAGCAAGTATGACACGGCGATAATAACACATCGGGATATAGAACTTTTGTGTACAATGGTTCGAAAATATTTACGACGTGGTTTGGGTATCTTGCACGGATTTATAACATTTAAAACAATATCTCATCAGTTCTCTACATGGCTTCCAAACGTTGTAATAACATAATAATATATTATGAATATAGCGTTATATTACGTAATTATAACGGAACTCGATAATCAAAAATAATTAAATACCACAAAACAAAACATAATGATTGCCAAAATATATTATTATATATCATTAAACAAAACATAACGTAAAACGTAATTTATAGAATATCATTAGACGAAAAATAACTCAAACCGAAATATTTTAAAATCGACTTATTTAAAAGGTCTATTGGTTTCGAAGTAACATTTATTTCATGGAAACAATTTAAAAATTGACTATATTATACTCGGAATCCGGGCCATTGCTTACCCACAATAGTTAACATTTTTAAATTAAATAGGTAATAAAATTATTTTAAATAAAGGTAAACGTAAAAATTGTGTAACATTTTAATTGTAAATAACATCATGAAATGGAATTTTATTTTCAAATGCATGCCCTGGTTCTGAACTAACATCACGAATATTGGATTAACAATCAGTAAGTAATAGTAATTTTTAAGAAATAAGTGATAAATAACATCATTATGGTAACCTACATTAATAACAAAAAAAAATGAGTGTGTATAATGTAATGTGGCGGTTCCGGAAAAGTAACATAAGAAGAAGGAATTCCTGTGAAATGCAGATAGGGAGTATAAAAAATGTACAAGAATCAATAATAGTTATATCTTATAAATTAACGGAATTTTCAACTAGGTATTCAAATTTGTTGATTAAAATGAGACCTATATACTACCTACATATAAATAAGGAGTGAATACCCAAGTAAATTGCAAAATATATTGCAATTGATTTAAAACTAATTATATAAATAAAACAAACAATACTCGTAATAATAGGTAGATAATAAGTATGACACGGCGATAATAACACATCGGGATATAGGACTTTTGTGTATAAGTTCAAAAATATTTACGACATTTTTTGGGTAATTTGCATGGAATAGTAACATTTAAAACAATATATCATCAGTTCTCGACTAATATTATGAATATTGAATCAAAAATCGGTAATAGTTATAATAAAGAAATAAGTGATAAATAACATCATCAGGTATAATACATTAAAAAAAAAAAACCTTTAGGTCGGGAATATAGGAAAATTTACTAGAATCAATAATACTTATATATAAATTAATGGAATTTTTCAACTGGTTTTGGTATTTTGCACAGAATAATAATATTTTAAGACAATATCTCATCAGTACTCTACGATATATTTTTTTTTTTTATATAAAGGTAGACAAATTTATGAGGAATCTTGTATTACATTTTCAAATATTAGATTTAAAAATAAATTTTTTTATAAATTGCTAACTCAAAATAATTTGCAAATTTTCGTAATTTTTAAGCTGGATTAAGCTAGATATTATGTTGGTATTTTACAAAAATATTTTTTTTAATGTTTGGTAATAACTAATAATTATTGTAGTAGCATTTTTGTGGGTAGTCATTATTGTCGACAAAGCTTACTGTTTTATTTAATTATGTTAGAGCTGTTACTATCAAATCAAAATATTCAGAGGTGAAATTAAATACTGTAACATTCGTTACACCCTACATAATATATATTATACACTAAACACACACTATTATTCGATTGACTAATACAAAATATTATACACACCCAACACTTTTAGGCCAAATTATTACTTATTATTAAAATTACAGCAGAAAATTATTGAAGAATGGAAGATACAATTTTAATATGCGAGTTTAAAATACTAGGTTCAAATATGACATAAATTAAAGTATATAATTCAATCATTGGTTATACAGTATAATTCTGTGGGTCATAACTTGTACCTACATCGTATTATAAAAATTAAATAGGTACGCGTAGGTAAAACTAATTTTATGTTTTGTAGGTACAGAATTATTCACCTATCAAAATTCTAGTTGGTATATTTTTCGAATTTGATTTAATTTTGTTTTAGTGAACGAAAGTTCTCTATCTACGAGTATTTAATATATAATATACCGTATTAATAAAATCATATTATTATATAACAATAGAACGCGTAAAAATAATAAAAAATAATACAATTTACAATCGGACAATATATAATAAAATACCTACGATATTTTTAGTCTCCACACCACTATACATAAGCGAAACAAAAGTTAGTCATAATCAGTCAACACAGTACTGAAGAAATATAGATATATACCACCTCTAACTGACCTGATCATATGTCGTTCGGAGAGTAAATGTGTTCGTTTTAAATATGTTTTCCAGGCGTATACGTTCAAGTTACGGATGAGCACTTGACATTTCTCATCGAGACCACACATTACTTCATTTTATAATTTTTGTTATTGAGTAGGTTCTACGAATACGTAAGGTAGATAAGTAGAGAAAAATAGATTTATTTGGGCGTTATACAAACTCGCATTTCAAGGGGTTTGTACACATTTTAGTGACATTTTGAGAAAAATAAAATTTTAAATCCTTAACATACTTAAAACTTATTGTAGGTAACTAAACAAGTGGTTTCACCATTTCAATGCTATTATGGTGGACTATGCTCGTAATCAAGAGATAATATAGATAACTCGCGAAAAATAACCACTCGGCTGCATACTATCTATGAGTGTATAATAGTTAGGTGGAGTCATTGATAAGAAATCTAATTCATACACGATGACGATACGTCAATACAGAAGCCAATATTATTTTCTGTGTCCAAATTTATATATTTTTTTAAACATAAGAATAACGAATTGTAAAACAATAATAACTGATTTATGCATATCAAAAATATAATAAATGGACACAAAAAATAATATTGGCTTCTGTAGGTAGAGATTAAATTTGGTTTTTTAACTGAGACTGGATGTTTTATAAAATGACGGACTGAATTGTTATTTTTTCTTGTGAAACCATTTTTATAAACATTGAATGGTATATAGCATCTTCTTTTAAGTCTCAAATATTATAGTCATAGATTTCGAAAGGTCTATTTTTTGTAAGCAAATGTTGAAAATCTTTACGTTTGACTATTATTTATATACTTTAGAAAATATTGTCGAATGTCAATTAATAGTAGGTATAATGTTTAAGTACCTATTTAAACGATTTTTTTTTAAAACACTAGTAAATCGCCGCCAATGACAACATTATAACATTGTGTGTCAAGCTTATAAAATAATATTAATCTGTTTTTATGTAAGCACCCAAGCTGTTTTGTAAACTTAATTTCTTTAAGTAAATATTTTTACAATTTTAACGAAAATATCGTGAAAATGTATTTATAAAAATATCATTAGTTATAATTTGTGAGCTAATTTTCTACATAATAATATTATGCTCAAACTGTTTGTCGTGATTTTCCTTTTGAGAGATAGTGTAGCTATTTACCAGTGGTCTTCATGGATTCACAAACAGTTTTCCGATACGAAAAATCACAAAATCCAAAATGTCGTTCGCACACTGCGGTTTTATTGAAAAAAAATGTGAAATCGTTTGTGTTGAGTAGAAAAAAAAATGGGTAATGCTTACAATGACTAAACTTTATTAACTGTGTTTAATAATATTATCATATCGTACATCAATAACGTGTTGATTATCAACAATAACTATTATTACCTACACCAGACGGTGATATTATGGGTAAAAGAAAATATAATAATATGTAATTTATACATGCACATAAATCGATGTTAATAATATTATTATTGTAACAAATGTATGGTGCTGCGTGCTCCGGTTATTAATAATGATATATAATAAGAAAAAGTAATAATAATAATAATAATATAATATTAATATGAATACAACACCCTCCACACGAAGTGATCCAATATTATCGTTGACCCCTCGACTACGTTATAATAATAAATTATATTTTGTACAATATAATAATGAACAATAATATTATTATATGATTATGATTATTATTTGTTTATTTTTGAAAATATATAAATGTTTCGTTTGTTCATGGCGTTACCGTAAATTTGTAAAACCCGTCTTTGACTGGCTGACCGCCGAACTTCATCGTCAACGTGTAGTCCCCGGGCTCTTTTACCGAATAGTTGACCACGTAAGTGCCATCGTTTTTCGGCACAACTTCTGTGTTTACGAAGAAACTGAAATAACACAGACGCACGCACACACGACGTCACTTAAATATATACTTCGCGAAATGATTCGCAACCACACAATATAGTGCTATATAACTACATATAGATTCGTGGACAGTGGCGGATATGAGGGGGGCACATAGGTCTGGTCCTCCCCGTGGCCTATTTGCTGTGCTATATTATGTAATACTAAATATATAGTCGTCACATAAAACGTATGAGTAAATAATTATACAAATACTTTATAACACTAATGAGATTGTTTTTTCTAAATATGTATTCAATATTTATTTGGAAAATTGTGGCTAACTCAAAAAAAAAAAAAAAAAAATTAATCATCCACCACTGGTCGAGTTGTTAGGTACCTATGTTTGCATACATTTGGATTATGAATGATATCGAATTGGAGAATTATGTAGTATAATATTGTACCAACGCGATAACAATAGTCAATAATTAATTATTGTTGTTTTTACTATTAATTCAAGGGTCGGAACTAAGGCATATTTGTTTGTAAATTGCGTAGGTACCTACTGATATTCTGGTTTGATATTATTTGTCATATTTTATTTCACAATATAGTATACCTACCTGCCTTCCCTTATTTCTTATTAAGTAAACATTTTTATCGTATAATTTCAGATATTTCGTAATTTTTGTTAACTTTCTGATATTAGGTTTAAGATCATACATAATTGTATATTTTATCGATTCAACTAGAAAAACAAATTCGTATACAAAAAATAATCGAATATCAAAAACAATTATAAAACTGCCAAAGTATTATTTTAGTATTATGATATTGATTGGAATGTGAATTCATTAAAATGTATTTGATTTATTGTAAAGAAACCATATGTGTAAATTATGATATTCCCATAATCAGTGGCGTATGCAGGATTTTTCATTAGGGGGGGGGGGGGCTTGAAAATTAGTTACAATTTTATTTTTATTTTGTCCAGTCTAATAGTTTCAGACGTTTTTTAGAGGTACCTATATTAAAATGTTTGTAACTTCTCAACTTTTCTGGTAGAAAAAATTCTCTGATTATAAACTTTGATGCCCGATGTATGTATTTGGAAGCAAATTGTACTTTTAGAGGTCAAAATTGAAAATGCTCAGTGTTCTTTAAAATAATTGGAGAAAAAATAAATAAAAAGTTATTAAAAGTGTTTGGTAACCAGCTTGGTTATAAAGTCCTCACTTGGATTGTATTTGATTAATTAAAATATTTAATTTTTTTATAAGGTCAAAAAGCTTAAAAATTTAATAAGTAAGTTTTTATTATAGCTAAAATATTAACATAGGCATCATGGTTATTTTTTATAAGCATTTAATGTTCAAAATTCGTTAAAACCACAGTTTAGTTGTAGGTCAAAACTTATAAAATTTTTATAGCTAAGGCTAGACAATTTAATACAAAGTATTTCATACTTTTACTGAAAAATTACAGATCATTTTAGGAAAATTGGTACTAAAATACAATGTTTTTTCAAAAATGAATTCATTCTGGTAAGGCGTATATGAAATTTACGTCTTGCTTACTATAGTTGACAGTTGAAACTTGATAAATATTTATTTTTTTAAGTAATAATAATACAATCAATGCGGGGTGGCTTCAGCCAGTTAGCCCCCCCCCCTCGTCCCCTGCGGACGCCACTGCTCATAATACTTCCGAACACTCGATAAATGACCTTTAATAGTGACCGGCATGTATCAATATTAATCAGCTTTACCGTTCAGTACTTAGTTTTGTAGGAAGACAATAAGATTAATGATTGACGAAAATATACACGAAAAATAAGAAATTAATACAAATAAGTTGGTATCTACGTCCTACATGCACATTAAATACATTTTTTATTTTAAGATCAATGTTCGAAAGTAGGTATTTATTAATTATTTGGTTTTTAAACTTAAGTTTAGAATTAGCCAATATTAATTAAAAAAATAGGTACCAAAATCTAAAGTTAAATAAATTGTTTTTAAATTGAATATGGAACGTTTATAAACCAGAAATTTAGCACGGTCACAGAGCTTTCCTAATTTGTTTGGTGACCCGTCATTTAGTCCTGTAAATAATTCCCGGCAGCAAATGATCCCCAACATTAATTGATCCGGTGCCAAAATCTCCTGTATACCAAAAATATCCTATAAAAAAAATGTTCTCCGTTTAGTTTTTCAGAGTTCAAAAAATAAATTGCATAATATGTTTTGCATATCATCCCAATTTTACAGTTTTTTTGAACTCATATGTTTTATACCTACATAACATTTCAGTACTTTTTAACACTTAAAGTTCCGATCCTTGAATTTATTACTATCGTGTGTTGATGACCATAGACATATTAAGGAATAGACAATTGTCGTTCCCCATAGTACCCATGGATTTGTCGATCTGAACATGGAGTGAGAGAAACAGACTATAATACTTACCCCAAATGTGGAAGAAATAATAAAATAATTTTATTTTCCACTGCCGATAAATTTTATTTTAACTGATAAGACAATTTGCAAAAAATAAAAATTTGAATTTCATTTGCCACTTGTATCTTATAAGTCTTGCAAAGCGCATTTGTTTTTGTAGTATAATAATTATTTATAATATTTATTACCGGCAGAACAATAAGAAAGTATAAAATTGTGAACAAATGTAGCATTCGAGGACGTCCTACAGTTCCTTCGAAAACTACACCAATGCATATAGGTGAGTTACATCATAATTATAATAAGCTAAAAACAATAAACTCAACTCATTATAGGGGTACCAATCCAATATTTTAAAATTGCAAAAATTCAATATTCGAAACTTATAATTGCTGTGAATTATGATTGCACTACCTAAATATATCATAAATTAGAGTACCTAATTCCCTTGCAGAAATAAGTGATCGATACTTTTTCTTCCATGTTTGGAGTAAGTTGTAGTCTATCTCTCTTACTCAATGATCAAACCGGTCTTATCCCTCATGCGCAATCCATTTCTTAATATGTCTAATATGCTATTTGTACAAGTTGATGTGTCGAGACTTACTGCCCGTCCACCGGTCTTATCCGGCACGTCAAGTTCCCGTCGCCGCAGTTCCTGGCGTTCACGACGATGCTGTGGTTTTTACCCGTCAGTATTCGGCTCTCTACGTTCCCCGTGATACGACAATTGTCCGCCTTCGGACGGTTACACGGAAAATAAAAACAAATATAAACAAAATTAAATGAAATGAGAACGACGACAACTACACCGTTGTCATAATAACTCCGAAAAAATACCTCTGGTCCAATAAATATCTCGAGTAAAAAATTAATACTCCCGTGGTATACGGGGTAAAACAGAAAGACCTGACAGATAAATTACCTTTTGTTTTGATCAATATTTAAATATTTTTTTTTTTAATAATAATTTTAAGGCACATGTGCAACAAGCACAGTATAATATAATTTTTTTTTAATATCAATTACTTAAAATTTAAATTTAATTACCTATACTTTTTTGATAAATTTAAAAATATCCAATTTGTATATCTAATTTTTATGGTAAAAAAGTTTATTTAAGTCAAGTAGTTTTTTTTTTTTTTAATATCGATATTTATTTGGAATAAACCAATTTGAAAAGTAATGATTTTTTTTCAAAATATTCATTTTGGGAATTTCCTGACATGAATATATTTTTTAAATTATTTCTTATCCATATAACTTTCATATTTTTTTGTCATACCTTTAACTAGTATCAATTTTTCTACAGGTCGTTCTGTTACACCCTATGAAGAAAAAAATGGTTGGAAGTTATTGTTGCACATTTAGGTAGGTAATATAACAGTGCACCTATAATTGGAGCTGATCATGAGCAGCAATAGCATTCGCGGAAATGTAAAAACACTAATTTGAAGAAAAAAAAACCAGAAGTGTCACTTGAAATTATATTGTAACAACTAAGAGCGACTAGAGAGAGCAGTCGGTAAGTACCTAGCTTGTATCTTAATTTATAGGGCTTTGGGAATTATTTTAATTAAAAAACACGTCGTCCCCAAAATATATGGTGTACTAACCTATTATTTTATCGATAAAATCGTAGGTTAGTTTAAAGTGTATTGGTACTGCACTATAATATTACTGTTGGACATTCATTTAAAATATTTTCAATAGATATTATTGAATAACACTTTATAAGTTATAACCATAGGGTTCAGAAGTTCATGCATTTCTATATTTTTAATTGGTTGTCCGAGTTCAAAAATAAAATAAAATGTTGCATGTTTTTGAATAAAATTGTATTTTCCTGCATAATACAGAATTTTTTGAAAAAATAAATTGTACTGCGGTAGTACATATAGTATAATCTATTGTAGGATAATGGATGTTAAAAAAATGTCTGCATGTAAAATTGAAAATAAGTTATAGAACTATGGTAGACATGTGCACCCTAAATCTCTCCGAAATCTTAGGTCTAAGTCCAAATGTCAAGTAGGCCCTCTGATTACGGTTTATTTATAAATAGTCGATAATGTATACATATTCCTAATGAATATTTAGGTTAAATTATTAATAAGGGATGCCTTGCTAATAATCTTTAATAATAAAAATAAAGTGGTGGATAATTAAATTTTTATTATAATATTATATTCTTATTAATATATAACATATATTAATTTTTAACGTTATCATTTTGAAAATGTTTTGAGGACGTTTCTCAACTGAAAAGAAACAAGATTTCTTCTAAACAACGAGATATTGTTATGATATCATATTTTATATTGGAGATATTTTTTTGGAGTTAATTTTATCGGTCACCTCTGCCATATCAGTCTATTTTATAACATAATAGTTCGATTATTATGCTATGAAATAGCATGTTGAGTTCAGAGGAAACTGAATAAAACTTATGAAAAGTCTAATTAAAGATTTTAATATGCACAACACTCGTCTGGACGTATTATCCAAAAAAATCGACAACACACAACTCGAAGCGTTAAGTTTTTTTTTGTGAGATAGTTTTAATCGCTATTTTCTCGAAAAAACTTCAACTGGCAAAATTATATAAGATTACATATATAAAATGAGTAATAAACAAAATACCTATCGTAAATTGGTTTGTTACATTATATTGTTATAATATCCGTCGTCAGTGAACTGAGATCAATCGAATTCAAAACATTAGTAAAAATAAAACCACATTTAGGTACCTACAACAAACGTTTTAACAAATCAAATCAAACAAGCAGAACGAAGCGTAAATGAAAACGTAGGTACGTTGCATAATAAATAGTGTATGATAATATGATATTATTATACTGATTGTAGGGAGGTAATTTACCAATCTAATATTGGTATATACCACTTGTTAATAATTCTAGATATTTCATGGTATAATATAATGCACAGTATAATACGTATGGTTACTGGTATAATTGGGTACAACACTCGTGTTTTATAACAATATAATACGACGGAAACATCGCGAGTACTTTTATAATGTATCGATTTCTGAATGAAACGTTTCGTTCGGAGTTCGCTTTCACTTATAAACCGTTTGGTATTTCCAAAATTTCCCAGGTGATGGACACTGTTATGTTGAGACTCAAATCGTCCGTTTTTCTCGTCGCATTCTTAATAATTTATACTCGCCAATGTCCGTCTTCCAGCAATACCGAACAAATCAAATGCGTTCTATTATCCGTGGTATTTTAATTTTAATATTAGTTATTTCTTCTTCGGTTATCGTAATATTCCTTTTTACGTGATAAATAGATAAATTCTTGCATCCGAAACACAGCCGCGACACCGAATAATTAAACCCGTTATGAAGATATTTTTAATAGTATCTATTCGTGGTATTTACTCTTACTATGGTATACTTAAGTACATAATGTCATTATTATAAACTGTTATTTATAATTATTATGAGCTCCTCAAAAAATGTTAAGAATAATATTTAATGTCGTGTGTGAAAACGTCAACGGACAATATTACGATGGATCACCTAAGCGTGAGTGCCAAATTAACTTTATAATATCACTCGTCATAAACGATACAAAGGACATCGGTTGTTTTTTTGTACGAAAACAATACAACGTACTTACTTAACAATAATATTAAATGGTTACAAAACGCCATTCTAAAAATGTCCAGCGCGTGACTATAACGACTAAACTTGAGTTGAATGGAAAATGTGTTAGTATTAAGCCGCACTTATAATAATATTATAATAATAACGTAATATAAGCAGTGATGTTCCTATCAAATTTGTAAAAGGTTAACAATTTCAATGAAAACGTTTAGGGTCCTAATAAACGTCTTCCATATACCATACACCCACATTATGTCCCAGACTATGACATTGGTATAATAAGGATGGTCTGGAGGAATATCGATGATAACAAATACATTTTCATTATTTTTTCTGGTTTTCAATAAGGACACGAAACGCCCAGCACTATAAAAACAGTAACTATTTTTTTTTTACAAATTCTTTAAGACTTAAGATTCCATTTATGATTAAAAAAAAAGTCTTGACATTATAAGGCCTATAATGTGAAGTATACCCAATGGGAACAAATAAACTGCATATATTATAATATACAAAAATAATGCAAGTGTGCGCTATAGTTTTATACGATGTATTATTATTATATAAAGCGTATAACATAGGCGGAAATCCATTACAATTTCAAGGGGTGTGAGGGCTAACAAGTAAGATTTTTAACACCAATGTGAGTGGTAGGAGCTTTGACTCTTCACAACTAATAAACTATCTGTTTGGGGGGAGGGGGTTGATGGGATATTTGAGGCGATTGCACCCGCCCCCCCCCCGATTTCCGCATATAAGCGTAAGCCGTTTAAGTGTTAGAATTTTACAATAACGATCGTGCAACATAGTGAACTTACATTTCCAGTGGAGTACGCCTGTACTTGAATCGGCGATTGTGGTAATGGTTTGCCATCATATAGCGCTTCGATCGTGTACCGACCGCAGTCATCCGGAGTATACTTAATTTTGTATAAATTATCGTTCTTTTCGATGTCCACCTGCCTGGGAAAACCATCGGGTCCCTGCAGCAGAAAATATGGTGTCATCATCATATTTTTACAACATGTCATAAGAAAGTCTGAGAACATAGCATTTCCCACTATAGCTTACCATAATTCTCAAGTCCAATTTTCCGGAACCAGCGTCAGTAGCGTCCACAACGAAATACGTGGGAACAGAAGCCTTGATACCTCGAGAGTCGGACACGCCGGGGCCTTCGATCTTGATTTTATCCAATTCGAACTTAGGCCGAACTCTGAACTTGAAAGGGCTGAATAAAAAAAGAAAAAAAAGGAAACGGTCGTCTGTCATAAAATGGTATAATTTACAAAAAAATCACAATTTTACATTATCAGTTAACTGCTATTATAATCAGGTGACACTACACTTCTAATACGTTCAGTGTTTACTTAAAATCATAATTTTTAATACGAGGCAGCTGTGAATTCATTAATTAACAATTAATTGAATACTGAATTGAATTTTATTTGACTATTAATTATTAAACTTGTGTTGTGACGCTTGGAATATAAGTAGAGATAAATATATGGCTTTATAGTATCAAATTAAATATTATTTATATCTAAAATTTAAGTTTTTTAATATTTATATCTTCATGTTTACCTATTCGGTACATGATGTCCGTTGTACAATACGTTGGCCACAAGTAGAGCGCCTTCTGGATTAGGAGTGTAAGTAACATCGTAGGTACCATCTTCATTGTCTCGAATAATTGGTGGTTTCGGTTGTGCATGTGCAACACCTGATGAATAAATAGGATATTAATATATATAATTACATGATGATGTGAAAAAAAACTAATATGACATTAAAATGTAAGTTAAGCTGATACACGTTTTAACAGATGGTTAAAAATATACAAAAAAATAAATAGGTTCATATAGGTACGCTGGTGAAATTTTATAAGAATGGGATAATATATGTACCAAGGTAGTTAGTGAATAGTACCACCACCACGGTTGGGAGGAAATGGAAAGAATAATTAATCCCAAAAATTTGGATAGTACAATATCTTGATTATGGAAGTATTACGTAATAAGATATTATTGAAGTCAGCAACGGAGGCGTAAGAAAGAATTGTAATAGTTCAGACATAAAAAAGTTCAGACACTGCAAGAATTAAGTTTGTCCTATCCCTAATAAATAATGACATCAGATTTATAAATTAGTTAATGCATATAGGTACAACTGTTTAACTAAAAAGTAAAAACATTATTTAAACATCCAACTAAACGGTAAAAACTAACAAAAACCTAGGCTAGCATTGTATTTAGTTAACACCTTCAGCTAAATTATAGTCATCAATAATAACCAAATTGTTGTGGTGTCAACATTCATTGTATTCACACATCGTATTCCCAATGACCATTTAAAACAATATTTAACATTATACGTTTAAAAAAATAAACAATCCAAGCCTTTTTACCTTTGTCGATTTCCATTTTCACGTCTACTTTTCCTTTAGCAGATTTCGAAGCGTCTACTTTGAACGTGATGGGCGTGTTGGCCCTGATATATTTTGGGTTGATGCCTGGCCCGCTCACATTTATGTCATTGGCGGTTGCAGGACGATCAGGACGATCGACTTGGACCTGTAATTCAACAGATTTTTATTTTATCAGGTATTATACTATTTATTTGAATCGCAAACGCAGGCCGGAGTCAAATGTTCAGTTAATATAATAATAGGTACAGGTATGTAATACGGTATTTATAGTTCACATAATATATTTAAATTAACATAGATACTTGTTGAGAAAGATCAGTGTCGTATTTACGGGAAGGCTCCATATCTAATATTTTTATAAATATATTCTTTAGTGGAGCCCCCCCCCCTAAAATGTGTTTGGAAAATTAGCAGGACCCCCTCCATAAAAGATTACTGAATACGCCACTGAGAAAGAGTAATTTAATGAAAATAATAAGTACCGAAAGTAGTACAATAAGATATTAAAAGTATGTATAACCTCATTATAGCATCGTGACAAATTAAGGTTTTCGCAAGCATAAATAATTTATAAGACATCGTGTGCAACAAGTCAGTATGGTAACATAATATTAATATACAGAATGGACATCACAGTATAAAAACTTTAAGTGGACAAATATGCGGATTAAGAAGATACGCAACGGTAACTCAGTGAGAGAGTAAAATATTGATATATCAGCTATGTTATCTATTTGATATCGCGTTGTATTATCGCACGTTTTTATTTTCAGAGTTGTTGATTACATCAGAGTACCTAGTTATGACAACCTGAGCGAGAACAGCTTTGAGTACAAATACATGGAAATCATCTTAACATTCCAGTCGCCTGAAGTCAGCTCGAAAAAGGTCTAAAGCAGACACGCCATTACGCAACAATATCCACATACGCATAGGTAGGTAGCTAAATAGTGTTTTACCATCAGGAAATGTCTAGAGGTTTAGTCAAAGTAAGACTCACGCCGTTTAAACGGAGATCAAAATTTTTCAAATAATGACTGTAACGTCTGTTTGTAAAATACAATATAACTAGTTACGATAATTTGAATAATACCTTAAACGGTGATCCGGGAATGTGTGTTTCAGCGAACTGAATGCTCACATCGTAAACACCAGATTCAGTAGGCGTGTATTCGATCGTACACGAACCATCGCGATTGTCAACGCACGTCATTTTCGCCTCGGAAGGCCCTTCGATGGCCAAACCTAAGCTGCCAGTGCCAGCTCCTGTAAAATTACAAAAAATTTTGTGTTAAAGTTTGAACATATTGTTTTTTAACAAGTGATTTTTCAACAGTTCGTGAAAATGGAAATCAAGTCCCCAACCTTTCAATATCTTTATTTTTATGTGTATTTTATTAATAATATATATTTTTAAAAAGTTATGTAATTGAATAAAAAGTGTATCCCTTTAAAATATACACAAGTACACAACTATATAATATAGTTACAATGTTGATTACACATTCTACAAGAATTATAAATAATACATTTTATTTTTTTCTGTATTTGTTCATTAAAACGACCTCAATAGGTCAATGCTTATCACAAAGGCTCAGTAGGGAGATAATGTGATCTATTTATCTATGCGTATATATCACTATATGCATAATACTATCCCCCCTTCTCCAAGAGGAGACATGTCTTCACTCCCCAGTGGGGTGGGACCTATAGTTGAAAACCGGATGACGCAATCGGACGACAGCACGGGAAATTGGTGATAATAATTAATACAATAAAATAAATGTATGTAGGTATAGCAAAATAAAATTCAAATGAAAGGACAAATATTATACCTAATGCGTGGAGAGTAGAACCTATACTTATACTTATAGTTTATATTATAATTCGTACTTTAATATAATAATATAACACTGAGAGTATATAACGGCTGAGAGTAAAAAGGTTCTATGTTAAAATATCTAATTTTTCAGGAGAGCATTTTTAAGGTTTGTTATCAAATATCTTTTTATCACATAAGGATAATTTTATTGTTTATAATTGGCATCAAAAAATCAAACATGTTTTCTTTAACAATATTACATGAAAATATAGCATCTCACTATTTTAGTTAATTCTTAAAGAATAAAAAACCACAAAAAAATAGTTTGGAGTAAAAAGGTTCTATACAAAGAACTGTTTTACTCGCTAAATTTTTTTTATTTAATAGATAGAACCTATTTACCCTATAGCAGATTACACAATTTTGACCAGTCAAGCCAACATAATATGATATAATTTTATCTAAAACGTCAATCGTTAATATTTTATCAAATAACTTTTTATTTAAATATTATTCTATATAAATGTATAATAATGTGATACAACATTCAATACATTTAATATCTAATAAATTGATAAAAATAAAATAGAATCAAAATTCAAAACAATATTTGTTTAACTTATAAGATACTGAGCTACGTAATTTTAAGAATAATTCGTGTGTATTATTTTTTATTTAAAAATTTCTTTATATCTGTGAAACAAATTAGTATAAAACGTTTGTCCATCTTCTGAAATACATTTGTATAAATACTCTATATCTTGAATTTTTTCCTTAGTTATTTTTGGATTATTTTTAGTCAATAAATCTCAGTTTATATTTTTTAAAAACTGTATAAAATTTGTACAAATTAATTGACATATAATTTGAAGAAAATCATCTACACCATGTAATGTTCTATACTTTACTATATTTATAATTAATATTATCTACGGATGGGAAATACTTGTTTTGACTAACTATCATTATCTTTACCATTATCTTATCGACATTTTGACATTATTGTGTTATTGGTAGTGATAGGACTCTTTTACTCATAATAATGTTTTTTTAATTCAATATAGAACCTTTTTATGACTTAACATGATATCTTTTCTTCAAGTTAGAACATAACAAATAATTTAAATATTATGCTTGAAAACACTAAAAAATAATTGTTGGTAACTCTAATTTATTGTAAAATAAATAATATAAATATTAAAAAATAGATCAGTCAATATTTTCTCCAAGATAACATCTTCTTAATATATTCTTAATCGTATATGACGTGTTTGAGCTCTAAAATATAAATGTTATGCATTTTCTGTAAAATTTCGGTACCACACAACAATCAACAGCGGTAATTTCATAATGTGAACCAGAACACCAAGTCATACATTTTTAATTATAATTAAAATTGTATTTAAATATGTAATCAAAAATTGTATTGTAATTAATTGTATTTAAATATATTTTGATAATCTAAATTAAAATAAAAATTTTAAAGACTATATTAAGATTTCCGATAAAAGCCCTTAAATGCGTCCTATACCTTTTGTTTCGACGGTGAAAGTGTTGACTTTGTGGATAACTCCACGGCTCACACCCGGTCCAAAAGCTCTGCACTTGCTCGCGTCGGTTCCTCGTCTCACGTTCACAGAAAACGGTGAGCCAACTATGGGCACGCCGTCGTAATAAATGTCGATGGTGTGTGGTCCTATAAAATCGATAAATATTTAAATAAACATATGAAACCGGTATGATACTCAGTATTTCAAGAACTATAAACATTTATAAAAATATTGTTTTTTATATACCTAACTTAAAGTCGTTCAAAATATTTTTCTAAAAGAAATTTCCTTAATAGTTTTATCGTTATCAGTTTTTATTTTTTTTAATGACAACGTGTTTTAATTCCTTATTACAAAATACAATATTTTTCGGAGTACGATACATTACACTTATGTATGAATATTTTATGAGTTATAATTAGAGACCGGATTTTTATGTTTTTACATATCTTTACTGAGAGTAGGTATACAATTCCAATTGGATAAGCTTTCTGAACGATTCAATTACCTATGACTGATATAGGTACAACGTTTTTTAGAGCTTAAAAAATAATTTTTTAAGTTTAAAGAATATTTTGTGTAAAAAACATGTTTTAGGAATATATTGCCATATTAGGTTCAAATTTGAATATTTTATAAAAATATAATAGATAATAAAAGATTTTTATTTTTATTCTTTATAACTTGTTATTAATATTTTTTTTTGAGTTCATAAGGCTGAATTATTTAAGTTTGAGTTATTTTAATACATAATATTATTCTGTGGTTGAGCTATATGCAATCATTTTTTTATTTTTAATATTACTATTTTTGAATTCATAAGGCTGAATTATGTAAGTCTGAGTTTGAATACATAATATTATTCTGTTAATGAACTATATGCAATTATTTTTTATTTTTTATTTTAGTGTTATTATTTTTCGAATTCGTAAGTTTGTGTTACAACAAATATAGGTACACCAGCATGGCAGTATATCACCATATTATTATAGATTAAATATAACTGCTTATTTTCATAAACTTTTACTTTTATTTGTTTTCAGTGTTAATACATTTTTATGAAAAAGAATATTTTTGCATATAAAAGATTATTTTGATGAAATTATAGAGCATAGAAGCATCTTATTTTTAAGATTTCAAGCCCATAAAATCCGGTCTCTAGTTATAATTATTTAAAGTTTAGGAGAGTGGAGTGGTAGAAGGGTACCCTGAAAAATTTGGTCCACTAATCCGCTCATCTAAACTTTAAATAATTATGATTAGTGCGAGTAATACACCGATACCTAAGTAATAGACTAGTTTACCAAAATTAGAATTTTATAGATCGAAATACTCCAAATAAAACAATGCTTCAGGAAATGAAATTTAAAATGTGTTGTAATTCAAAAGAGTAAAAAATTAAATAAATGTTGACAATAAAAAATGGTAAAAACCTAATTATTTGCATCGGTTCGTATACACTATACATATGATACAATTAATATTATGTATTATTTTCGGTAAAATGGGGACCACCCTAGATGATAGACTACGATAAAATAACGCATCAAAGACACAAATCATTTTATAAACGTTATGGACAGAGGACATCAGGACGAAAATATTACCTGCTTCGAACGGGGTGTAACTGATTTTATATGTTCCGTCGCTTTGAGGCGTTATGAACGTTTCTGTCCTGGTGCCAGATGGATTAGTTACCGTACACGTAACGACCCCTTGGCCGTACTTGGCGACGGCTCTTGAATCCACGGAGAAGTCAGTCGGTGATCCCAATAAAACACCTAAATTAAATGTAAATAATAATAAATAACTGGCTTTCAAAATCCAACTAAAATCCATCACAAACGACAGTACTACAAAATCAAACAAAACGTCAAAATCAACTAAAATAATTTCATAGATTAACATTTAATTTATAAAATTATATAATTTATATTTATATTATACAAAAACACTATATTAGATGGGCCAACGCAATAATTTGTCACTAATTATTTGGATTTGACTCGTTATAAAGTACCTATAGTGTCACATGTGGCAGTAGGCGAGAACATACTTATTTCCCAACTCATTCTACCACAATTGACGCCACTTATTATAGTTGACTCAAATCCAAATTTAAATAATGAGTGATAAATGATTGCATCTGGGTTTCCTATATGTAGTGTGATTATTAATATATAATCATAATAATAATAATATGCACTCGTAGGAGAAGTTATATTAAACAGCATGGAAAATAACACACTTTATTAGACAAAATTAACTGCCGAAAGGTCTAATATAGCTGAAGAAGTAGTGATCATACGTATCACGTATTTTATCATATTATGCAGCTTAGGTATGTTTGCAATACAATATAATGTTTAAAGTGGCAGTAGAATAAGCAGCAGTAGTAGTTAAGTTTGCTAAACAGCTTTCAATTCTATCTAAGCCGCCGATAGGCATTAGATTGTGCTCATCTTCGGCTTAAATATAAGTCTATATATGAGCGTGCACACAGGGTGTGAGAGCAGACACTTTTTAGGGGACGTAATAATTTTTATGAACAACATGACACTTTTGAGAAAGAGATGATCTCAAGACCAGGAATTTATCAGAAATATCATAAACGATTAAATATTGTTTATGTGTTTAAATGTTTAATTAACCTTAATTTACCTTATAGTTTTAAATGATCCAAATGAAATACAAAAGAATGTTTTTGGATAGTTTCAAAAACGTATTGAATTTGTATCATACAATATATAAATCGAATTCAAGTCTACTCGAAATATGAAATTAGGTAAGTACCTATACATAATTTTTTATAAACACATAAAAATTGTATAAACAACATAAAAGAATGTTTTAGACCCCCTCAAAAAAAAAATTACAAAAAACCTATTATTTTTAAGGAAATAGTATTAGCATTTAGAGGCATATATTATATTTTTTGAGAGCACATGTCATCAGTCTCATACTTTTTAACTAAAGCCTGCCCACGCCTACAGAATGTAAGTAGGTATACAACAAATATTATAAACAAATAATTGGAACAAATGGTAATAAACGATTAATAAATAACTAAAATACATGTTAATTACAATAATTGTTTGTTGGTCAGCCTGGCGTTTAATTGCTATAGACTGTTAATTCAGAAAGCCGGTTTAAAATCAAAAGTAAAATCGCACAACAAATCACACGGAACACGCGAACACGCTCGGAACACATCACTGTCACACGGCAACACGCTCGGAACACGTCTTGGTAGCTGCGGCGGCGGGTGGTAGCGGTTTACCATTGGCCAGCAGACCGTTGCCGGACGCCTTGACGTTGTTGGGCGGCCGCGGCGCATCGCCAGCCGCCCGGCCACCGACCAGCGCGTTGAACGGCGACCCAGGAATTGGGTGGTCATCGAATGTGATGTTGATGACGTAGTGGCCGGCCTCGACGGGCATGTAAGCCACCGAGCACGTGCCGTCCCCGTTGTCCCGGCAATTGATAGCCGCCTCGCACGGGCCCTCGACCGTCACGCCCAGGCCACCCTGGCCAGCGCGTTTCGTGTCGATGGTGAACTCGGCAGGCCGGTTGACTGGGCCACCGGCCAGGCCCGGTCCATGGGCCGTCACCTTGCCGGGGTCGCTGGCCCGCGTGCACGTCATACGGTACGGTCGGCCCGCCTGTTCGCCGCCCAGAGTCACGCTCAGTCGGTACTCGCCCACCTCGGTCGGCGTGAAGTTCACCACGTAACCGTCGGCGACGGGAACCACGTGCGCCGTCACCGAACCACCGGACGGGCCTGTGATCACCACGGCGAATTCCGCCCTACCGGCTTCCCGCGTCATCACCCGGAACTGCTGCAGACTGTTGACCGGAGCCACTGCGTGGTCCGCAGAGAGCGAATAATAATAATAATAATAATATGATAGTAATAATGGTAATAATAATTTATCTGAACCATAGCATTTTTATGATCGATTTAGGACTTGGAAGTTTTGTAAGCCTGTTATCATCTCTTAGAATAAAAATATTAAAATAGTCATAATACCAGCTATTATGTATTATCTGTAGGCGGGTTGGGCGAGCTAACTAATTTTCTAACTCGTCAAGTTAATATAGAAAAACATAAGTTAGGTTTAAATATTAAATCGTGACTTTTATTTTGTATTTTTCTAATATTTAACTTTTAAAATTACAAGTAGTATATTATAAGATAAAGGGAGGCCTTTGTTAAATGATAAAATCCTTGCATGATATTATTGTTATACATTGTTTATATGTTTATTTTTAACTTAGCTCATTTTTTTTACAGATTTAAACGTCAAACGGGTGGTTTTATTTATGTGTAATTTGTAAATACTTATGTTTGATTAAAATGTCTTATGAAGAATTTTTTAGGTAGTTGTAATAATTATATATATTTTAATTCCTATTCAAATCCAGAAATATTGAAATCAACTCCTCAACAATCTAAAATTTAGTATTTACAATACTTACATAAAACACCATAAATAATATCTATTCACGATTATTATATTAGAAGAAAGAAATTATATATTCCTAAACCCCTGAAATATTTTCAAATACGCTAATAAAACGCTTTTCCTTGTATTTTCTGTGTCGAAGCACTATTTATTAAGGGGCTAAATTAAGGCATTACATTTCTAGTATCGTTGGATGGTAAAATTATAACTATAACTCAATTATAATAGTTTTTATTGGGCCGAGCGGACTAAGGCGTCGGCTGCGACGGTAGCAGACGCTGGTTTGATCCCTCTGCCGCGGGCGGCATTTTTCTTCGGGCAAGTCACGAGAATAAGTGCCACCATCCCCAACCCGGGCATGGTAGATACCTACGGGTGCCCAAATCAAAAATTCTGCTAAAACAATAAGTTTAACAAATCTACAGTACCCTCCCCTACAGTACCACAGGCTAATAACCTAGTAGTTGAAGCCTTAGCCCTAATAATAAAAAAAAAATAGTTTTTATTCAAGACAGAAAAAGGTGGATTCTTAGAAACTTTATTTAGTTAATTTAGATCATAAAACTATAATAATTACTATTATAATTAGGTATTATTTTTTTTAAACTTTTTTGTGTATTATAATAGAAATAGTTTTTTTTTTTTTAAATGCACACACACCTATACCAATTATTTTTAAAACAATCAAATATCTTTTATCACTTTTTTGTCTGTACAAACGCCATCCCGACATAAAAATTATAGATATTATAGGTATTCAAACTTTTTTAAAATTTATTTTTATTGTTATAATATAATATTCCAAGCCCTAATTATAATTTACGTATAATGCAGTTCATTTCTTTCGAATTTGTTCATTTTCCGTCAAACACGAACGTCGATAATTGTACCAAAATTAAAATAATATTATTGACTTGGTATAACAATAGTGGGATATGTACTATAGTTAGGTATCTACTGTACAGCAATTATCGAGTAATAAACACTAAAACTCCTGGACAGTCTTTAAACAAATTCATCGATACAGATCTCAAAATAATATTACACTTATTGTAATCACTAAGATGAGCGTTTAATATTTTTTGAAAAACTTACGCGTTTCGAGACCATCCACTTTGACTTTGGACAAGTCCACCGGAGACTGTACGTTGATCTTGATCGGGCAATCAGGCACCTTGACTCCACCGTAAGTGCAATTCAAATTGTGAACGCCTGAGTTGGTCGGGACGTAGTCAATGAGGAACGAACCGTCTTCGTTATCGTTGACCTGCAATGGCACGTTGACTCCTTTATCGTTTACCAGATTCACGTTCAGCTCGCCTGCGAGATACCAATTAACTATCATTATCTAATGTGCATTGACATACATTTATTGACTTACTACCAAAACTCAAGGTAAGAACTATATCAACTGTGTGTGTATGTTGGTTTTTCAAGATTTTTTAAGTTTTTAAGACTATATCCACTTAAAATCAATTAAAGACTTTTTCCTCCCAAAATCGATATTATTTATAATTTTTTCATTATAATTTATAATGCAAATTTTGTATAATATGATACATGCTGTACACGTTTCCGATACAAAATATATTTTATTTTCGACTCAATATTAAAAATATTGTTTAAGTTAGTGATAGTTATATATGAAGATCAGATTTAAATAAATTCCATCGAGGATACGATTATTAATCAATTTTTACATTTTTTCGAATGAAATTAATATTTAAAAATTATAAAATATGTAAATGTATCGAAAAAAAGAAATTGGCTTGGACATAGGCAGTAGTTAAAAATGTTTAGTAAGTATAGTAGTAATTAAAAATTTCAATTTTGAAAAATACTATTAAGTAATTTTAAGAACTAAACAAAAACTACTTAATTTTTAAACAAGTTGCATATTAATAATTATATCATAATCCGTGGTTTTGATTATTATTTAATATGATAATAATATTATAGTAAATTATAAACTTATTGTTTCTGTGGTCACTAACTTTTAGGTCATTAACAACCCGACATACATAATACCTATATTAGGTTTAATTAAACATTCAAAATAATTGTTTCGAATCAGATGTATCAATTCGACTAGCAATATAATCGCCAGGTAGAGTTTGACAATAACACAATAATTATATAAATTATAATGACTCAGAGAAGACATAATTTATTGGGTCACATTTTCAATTATTTATAAAAATAGATTTTTATGAGACCAATGCGAAAAAAGTTTTGCGGGCCAGGGGCGTCGACCTTGGTGTAAGTGCATAATAAATTATGCGTGAACATAATTATTAATGTTTTATTTTAAAATGTGTTTTTGTATTATTTTTAGTAATCTAAAATTGCATCGCGACTGCTCCATAACAATTTGAGGATTACTTATGATAACCTGCTTGGCACTAAAGTCTTAAATGTGTGTTTCCTGGCTCGGAGTGGTACAACAAATAACAATAAATACTACTAATTCCCACAATATAATCGTTGTTTTTAATTTGAAAGTAAGGCATATGCCATATTATATTATTATGCAAACATGTTGCACGTATTTGTCAGTAGAGGTAGAATTTTTCTTATCAATTCATTAATCGGATAATTATTACAGCAATTTATTTTGTAAGTCTCTTTTAATAATCAATAAAATATATAATACCTATAATATTTATTTGTATTAATTTTAGATAAAGTTATTATTTAAAAAAAAACCTGAACGTTTATACATGGTTTTTACAACCTAATCAATGATATCATACGTTTCACCTGAAAAGTTTCTAGTAAAACGAAAACACAGTACATATATTTGAGGGATACATAAAAAGCAATTTTATTAACTTTTGAGAGAAATTAAAAGATGTTGTAAAACATTTTTAATGAAAATCGCTAATAGTACTGTATGTCTGTGTCGTTTTTATTAAATTTTCCAGTATGAAAAAAGTTAGTAAAAATATATACATATTTGTATATTATTATATAGGTACTTAAATACTTCCTCAGTTGAAAGTTTGTTATTCATTCGGAATTTATCGTATTGAAAAAAAAATTTTGTATGTTAAAAAGAAATAACTTAATAATTAATCTATATATTTAATTTCATCTGAGCTTTTTCTTTTCTTTTTTTTAATCTGCGTTGTATTTTATATCGTTTAATAAACATCAATGACAATCAAAAATCTCAATAATCAATCCAAAATAAGAAAAATGTTGAACAAAATATTTAAGAAAACATTAAATAATATTATTAGGGATCACTCATATCACCATCAAGACACGGAGTCCTAGACACATTAATTTATTGTAAAAAAATATAATGCGTATTATTTAATATTATTATGAATTATTATCTGTGCACAAATTTACCGATTCCGGCATCGGAACAATCAATGGTGAAATGATTGGGTTTGTTGGTCTTGACGCCGGATTCAATACCGGGTCCAAATATTTGTACTTTGTTGGCGTTCAACGGCTGTGACACGAACACGCGGAACGGACTTTTTGGTACAGCGACGCCTCCGTGACTGACCTATATGATATGGAAACAAGACAAAAGCGATAGAGTTATTTTTTCACGAGTACTTGGACTTAACATTTTCAGGGTTCAACAGGGGTTGTTGTTGTATTTTTCGTGATTTACCTGTAACGTGTGTTTGCCGATCGACTTCGGGACGTACTTGCAAGAAAGTGTACCATCTTTGTTGTCTTTCAACACGGGTTCTATAAAGTTGCCACTCGAATCTATGACCTGTATAGGCGAAATTTTAATTATTTTTGAATCGACATGTTAACAGTTATACTCTAGTATTTTATTGCTGATTGTAAAACAACAAGGGCGGCGGCTATGATTATGGCACCGCCGTACGTTTAAATGTCAAATATTATAATATTCTTATCAAACTCGCAAAGATTATATTTGAAGAGTAAAGCGGTGATTACTAAATATCTTATTGAAATGTGCTATGAAAACATCATCGCGACACACCACGTGTACATAATTTTTAAAACATAAAAAGTCAAGACAGGCCATTCTGATGTTACCTTTACGTCAAGTGGAGCTACTCCTGCTTTTTTCGTGTCCACAACGAATTCAGCAGGTTTTCCTTGTATGACGCCATTCGGTTGCAGTCCACTGCCGTAACAGTTCACCTACAAGCATCATTCGTAAGCACATTAATATTTATGATAATCATCAACGATAACTGTTGCTTAAGATATATCCTTACCTTGTCGGGATAGAAATCCGAACTGGGCACAACGTTGGCCATGTAGGGTGACTTAGGTATGTCCTCGTTATCGCATAATATATGCACGGCATACTCTCCTGGCGCCATCGGATAGTACCTGACGTCCGCCGATCCGTCACCGTTGTCCTGGCAATCGATTTTCGCCTTTGAAGGCCCTTCAATACTGAATCCTGTAAACGAAAAGGTTTTCATCACAACAAAATATTGATAAAGTTATGGTTGAAATAAATTGGCAAATCAATTACTACTTAGCGTGCATATACATATTTATTAATATTTAATAACAGTACAAAGCTCTGTTCACTGATTTTTATTTATTCGGGACCACGGTGCTTCGATTTCGAGTATTTAGTGATAGTTGATATTCTCTTGTTATGTTATTATATTATAATATTAATTTTATATTATTATATCAATCGGGAAATATATATTTATTTATTATTTTACGTTAACTGGTTAGTAGATAATGTGTCAGTCAACTCACAAATAGGAAGTTAATAGCAAAATAAGGGGAAAATTTAAGTAAGCCAATTTAAAAAAGGAAGTTTTATAAAAAAAAAAATGACCTGAAATGGCACTAATGACTATTATACTCAATTCATTATAACCTAAAAGATGGGTCTTGTTCTTTTTATCAAGTATATATTTAAATGTTTGAAAATTATTATATTGACCGGTACCTATAGATAATATTGTTAAACATGATATGGGACGTTAGTTGATTCTGATAAGCATCAAAACCACAAGGCCACTTGTGATACTTCTCTCAAAAATAAATTTAGTATTCGCGAGAGTGTCGTACGCACCGCACCTGGCACACTGCATTACGGTTTTTACTTGCCTAGCGAACCAGTTTCTCCGTTTGTTTCGACAGTGAACATCGCTGGATGCGAAACTACGCCTCCGGTAAGTCCAGGTCCGTAAGCACGAATCAAAGTCTCCTTGAATGGGTTGACGTGCACTTCGAAAGGTGCTTTAGGGATTTCCACCCCTCCAAACGTCACCATCACGACGTGCCGGCCGACTTTCCTCGGATAGTAAGTTGCTTCATACGTGTGTGCGTCGAGTTTCTTCATGTTTACGGGTTCTTTGACTCCACCTACGCGAAAATAAAGCGTTTTGTATATTATTAACCACAACCTGTTCGTCTATGTTTATTGTAATAATAATGAGAAGCAAGAAATAAAATAGTGTTTATGTTACGGGTAATTTCCGCACTGAGGGTAAAGTCAACATTAGCCGGTTCAGTTCAAAGACAAAATCATTTTATTCATTTTATTCCACATAAATTTGCCCGGGTAATTCAAGAATCATAATTTGCTCTTGGGTAATGATGAAATGTGTGTTTTTTAAATGTTTACAATTGTCTAATCTATAAAATAGCCTTCAATAATGTGTTTTACTATGAGTTTCGATATCTGATGTTGTCATATCGATAACACCAAATATAATTTATTTGTTATATCTATTGAGGATGAACATTGAACATAGTAGTAATTACTATAAATAATGAAATAAAAAATGGTAAGTGCGTTAACGGAAACTTTGAAAAATTATTAAACTCGACGAGGTTTTTAATGCTTTCAATCATTATTATTAATAAATGTATAATAAACAAATGTATATTGCTATAACATATTATAATTTACATCGTGTACCTACATATTACTTTCAATATCATTACTCATTATATACCTATATTTTTTTGTTATGAATTTGTCTGTATAACTATTAATTTACTAGTTGTATACATTTTAAATTGATTATTTTTTATCTTTCATTATAATAAATCATCTATTTTTTCTATCGACTTTACAACAAAATAACTCCTAGTTACGGTTATGACAAGGTAGGTACTCGGTAAAGATTATTACTATGTTCGAATTTTGTGGTAGGAAGTGGTGAGAGCGAGTGTGATTGAAACTAGAAAAATAATTCTCATGTAAAATTACGTTTCGTATAATTCTGATTATAACTAAGTAAACCTAATTTTGTATTTTTTTCCATAACGATGTGTTTTGCTAGTTTTGCAAAAATTTCACTAATTTCTATAATGATAATATTATATTATTGCAAGAAACTACATATTATAATATATTTATCAACAAAAAATAATAACTGGTTGATAAAGAAATAATTGGGTAGTAATAATTGGTAGGAAATGCTTTTTTGGTCTTAATATGCATTTTTCACAGTATATTTTTTATATTTTATAAGCTTTTTTGGCAATTATAAAAATTGTTTAACCATTTATTTTGTTATAAAATTCCTAGCCTAGTAATTAATAATTATATATTAACATTTATTTTCCTGGTTAATCTAACCCACGGGTTATGTGGACTATATCCGGTAAACGGGGATCGTCGTAACATAAACACTGATTAGGATTTTTACCCGGTCCGATTACGTTCACATCTGGAACGCCTTCGCCTGCTCCTTCGGTGACAATTTTGAACTTGGCTTCATCTTGGACTCTAAGGCCATGTGGTTGTATACCTCGTCCAAAGGCTCTTACGCGTTTAGCGTCAGATGCTGTACAGAAATAATGCCACACACGTGTTCGAATTAAATTGAAAAACAATAATATTCCATTGTGAATGTGTTATGCCATACCATTCGATATGCCAACAGCAAATGGGCTCAGTGGCACAGGTTGATTTGCGAAGAAAACATTGACCGAGTGCACTCCCTGGACGACCGGCGTGTAATCGCATATATACACTCCGTTAGGTTCTTTCTTGAGTTTCACCGGTATCGTGTTCTCTCGGCCAGCAGGATCGAGAATTATCACCTCGGGAACACCTTTTCCGGCATCTTAAAAAAATAGAAAAATGGTGTTCAGATTTGGTGAACGATCTCCCAAGTAAATAATGTAAATACCTTTCGTATGGATTTCGAAATAAGTTGGTCGGTTCGTGAACACGCCTTCGGGTTGTATACCTGGCCCGAAGACATTTACTTTGTTTGGATCACCAGCTGACGCATCCACGTTAACGTGATATGGAGATTTCGGAGTCGGTACCCCGGAGAAGTTCACGTGCACTTTATGCGGTCCTTCGACGACCGGTTTGTACGTGGCCGTGTAAGTTTGACTTCGGTCGTTGTTGAAAACCAGATCAACCTAAAAATTGTAAAAAAAAACCATTTGATTATGAAGAATCACTCTTCGTCGGTGAGGTGCTTACCGGTTCAGCTTTTCCTTTGGGGTTTTCCACAGACACGTTGACTGTGCCTTTGCCGGCGGAAAACGTTTCAACGGTGAAATTCGTTTTGGCTCCCACGGCCGGCCCAGAGGGTTCGATTCCAGGACCGTAAACACGAACGCTAAACGAAACACAAAAACAATTTTTATATTAATATGCAGTCAGAACATGTAGAATTGTTGAGATAGATACTCAGTTTTACACGATCGAAATATAATAATAATATTGTATAATATACCGGCTAGGGTTGGTTTTTGATCTAATCGGAGCTCCTTGTTTCAACTTTGCGTTCGGGTACTGAGACAAATAGGTCATCATGGATTGTTCGTCCATGTTGGGGCTGACCAATTCTTCGGGTTTGATGAGCTGAAAACATAGTTTATAACGATTAATGATTGTTGTTACGTTCGTCCCAACACCGCAAAGACAATATTATTATTACTTGTTTGATGTTAAGCCAATCGTCAGCCAAGCCCATGGCTTCCGATGCATTTTTAAGTGCGTTGTTTGATTTCCAATCCTGCCAATCCGGACATAAGCCTACAAATATAAATTATAGTTTTCAAATTAAACGGCCGTTGAATATTTCATTGGCTAAACCACGACGTTGCAAGTCTTATAATTACCCGGAGCCACGGCATCGACCAAAGCGCCGACGGCCTTTCCGTCGTTCCAGTCTGTAGTGAAATTCGAAATCGGTATATCGGGAACCTTACTCTGGATCCAGTTCAGTAATCTAAACCGCAAGTAGATTTCCGTATTTTAATATTTTTTCAAGCATACAATTATATTATTATATTAGGTAGGTAGCCAGAAAACGAAAATTCGTCGATCCGTCGTTACCATCGTATTATATATTATTTTTAATCCTTTGTTAGATTTAATCTTAGCTGCAGTGCCCCTGCACGTATTATAATGCCCCATGTACCTCCCGCGTCTTACATGGAAAACGCATTAAGTAGGTTGATTTTTTTTTCTATCCATTTTGTTTCGTCCATTATGTGTTTTTTTGACGTTTAAAGTGTACAAAAAAAAATTATTATTATTATTTAGCCCAAGCAGACAACAATGATTTAATCCTATTTCATCGTATGCCCAACACAACACCCTTCGAATGTATGCATTCTTATTCGTCGGGTATACTACCTACCTACTTAACATTCCACACCGTCTGCGCCCTTAACTCTACAACTACTGCAGTTGTGGCATAATATAATATTATGTATTTCGAAAATAATTGTACATATCCGTTTCATTCTCCCAAATAAAACCTCGTTTTTTATTACTATTCGGTTTTTTTTATCGTACAATATTACTGTAGACGCGAGTCGATAAAAATAGAACGAAATGCGATGATAAATTGATAAACCACAGTTAATATCTATACATTCGAAAGTCAAAACCTCTAATAAGAGCGATAAACTAGCAATTAATGTTTCCAAATATAATTGACACACGCAGTTCAAACTTTGATCAACAATAATAAGAAAGGTATGTGTTGAGGAAAACATTAATTATTTTTATTTTTAAACACACAGACCTATTTTTCAAGTCGATTATAATGATGTGTTATTTATTTATTATATTAAACTCAGTATTACCTTTGTTTCGGTGTTGCTCCTTTTTCGTTTGGTACTTGCTCGCCACCAAATTCGCCATCCCACATTGGCATCGATATAGAGTAATGTAAAATCAACGTCCATATTAATCCCAAAATCAATTTCAATTTACAATCAACAATATCGGAAGAATCTGTAAAATAATTACAAAATAATAATATTATTATCATTAAGCTAAGAAAATTGTTTCAATATTTAAAAAATGAATTTTTTTTTTTTTTACACAATATAAAGAGTCTTTTCAAATGATTTATAATTTATAATATTAATATGATTTGTACAGAAAATACCATTTATCGGAAAACATCCAAGTACTCAATTGTTTCCTAAAATGTTGATTTAATGCATCCAAACATGGGTAGGTTATACTTAATTTTTAAATTAAACTTCATGCTACTTTTAAATTTCTTAACAATTTTTATAATTTAGAATTGGTAGCAATTTGTCTACATATATTACTCTAATACTCTTTTGCTTTGTGTATCAATATCAAATATGTGACGATTTTCAGGCGAGAATTTTTAGAAAATTTGTCACAACTAAATAATCAACATTTCAATGAATACAATATACAGTCATTATCTTTAACTATATTGTTGTTAATTTTCTCCGATTCATTTAAAAATTACTAAGTGTTGGAAAGTTTTCAAATAAATACGACTTTTTTTTGTTTTACGAATTTAATGTCATCGATTCAGAAAAGTGTATGACCCAACAGCGATCTGAGGGCTATAATTTAAAATAATAATGTGACAATCGAAGAAACACTTCAACGTCAATATATAATACATTAAAATCTTACGGAAACATTTTTTAACACCCAAAAATTATTTTAAGAAAAATATAAGTCTACACTCTACATACATAATAACTTAATGAGATTAACAATAAATGCTTATAAATCACTGTATAATGGGTATTGCAATGTATAATTTATCTATTATAGTAGGTACCTATATGCATACGAATTTAGTTAGATCGTCAGTGAACTTGAATTTCCCGTTTAAGACTTGCCGTGCATAATAATATAAGTAACGTTATTCAAATCGACATTAAATTAATTTACGGTTAAGGAAATAAAAAATAGGTAATAATATTCGGTGTAAAAATGCGCACGAGTCTGTGTTAAACGTCATTTCGTTTTTAATGTAGCGATAAACGCATAGTATAAAAACAAGAAATGCCAAACACATAATCACGGTTTAATACCGTAAAACATATTTAACGGACATTTTAATAATAATAATAATAATATGATAATACTATATTTTTTTTATATAATTCTATTTTGTGTGTAATAAGGCATTGGCACACGAAATCTTGGTAATTCCTTAATATTATACCAATCACATTCCGCATCGTGCAATTATAGTTAATTGTGCGGACAATGATAAATAATGTTCGTGTTTCAAACATAAAATAATATATGACAATAATGCAATATCGAAAGTCATTTTCGTTGATGAACTTTATAATGATGTAGACGGTCTGCTCTGTACCTACCTATGCCTGTAATTATTATCGGTGTACGCATTATTGTTATTATTATTATTAATATTATTGGTAGAACGAATAAATATCAAAAGAGATAAAATAATGTTATTAAAAATTTAAAGAAATCGTCAAAATAATAATATGATTGACGACTATACTAATAATTTTAACATATATATATATATATATATATATTATAGAAACAAAAAATAAACTGTAAATCGTACAAAGTAAACATTGACTTGAACAACAAAAAAAAAACAGTAAAATATATAATTTATATACTTTTATTTTGTATTTTACTTGATAGCAACCATGTGGGTGTAACCATTACAAAAAGACCGTTAGCCGATGGCATTTAACACATAGGTATTACACGGTTCTCCAAATCAATGCCTCGTAACTCATAAAACATAATTTATCGTCTACATCAAAAAATTTCATTTATTGCAATTTATATGCGTAATTATCCAAAGTTGGTTTTCATTTAAATTGCATACCAATCCTAATAGGCATTCCTATTAGACACAAAACTCAACTATTATCATAGACATTAGACGTCACCATAAGAGGCATCGAAGAAGTGCTTACACAAAAAAATACTATAATAGAAAACTAACAGAATTTAAATAAATATGGACAAATTGATACGTACCTATAATAATAATAATGCGATATTATAATAATAATTGTTCAAAAACATACACAGTTATGACATGTCATCCCTAACCTATATAGGTATAGCACTAATGAGACAACGCCAACAGCGGCATGACATCATAATCGGTTCGATGACGGTTCAATGTGGGTTAAAAAAATAAAAAGTCTGTGTACCTATTGTACCTATACCTATACATACCGCGTATACGGTATAGAATTCGATGCTCTGGTATCTGGAGCATAAAGCGTAACGCGCGATTGTGTGTGCGTGTACACTTGTAAGCAGGTACCTACCTGGTAATTTTTTACCATGTACCCTATATACATACATATTACGCACGTTAAGGTATATTATAAATATATTATGTAAAACAACGAAGCCATACGCATACCTTGTGTTATAATATTATATTTAGGTACCTACCGGACCTATACCGGACCTATACCAGACCTACCGGGCCTACTGGGGGATCCTCTAATCCGACACCTGCAGAAGCAGACCTATGCTACACTCGTTGCTCAAATCTTCTGGATAGATTGTGAAATAATCGATTTCGGGAAAATAAATAATAACATAATAATTATTGGAGGCCGCAATAATGTTCGAAGTATATAATATAATATTATTGTTTGACATAATAACATTACACTACGATAATTAATTAATTCATTCATACGTTGTACTCGTTCTTTACAATCAATGATTTTTTATTTTGACGACGACCAATATTTTTGTTTTTAAGTTTTTTGTGCGAAACCAGATAATAATTTATACAGGCTTTGTCGTTTAAATAACAAATATAATATAATTTAACTAATAACTAATTTTTGATGTTTTTTTAATAATACATTTACACGTCAGACAGGGGGATGGGTGAAGTGTTAATCTAATCTGAATTTTAAGGTTTAAATGCTTTAAATTAAAATATAATATGTAGGCGGTCATTAAAAAATATAAAAATTGTAAGACTTACAGTTTTTTCAGAAGTCATAAAAACTGTTTTTTTAATAAATATAATACAATTATTATTGATGATATATATTGCATATACATTTACTTTTTATTATTTAAAAAAATAATAATAAATAACTCAACTTAAGTTAATAAGATATTTTTAAGTTTCCATATACAACTTTTAACATAACTGAGTTAAAAAATTAAGATAACTTTTAACTACCTTTATACACTTTTTAAAATAATTTCTATCAACTTAACCCAATTAAAAATTATCATTAACTTGCCCACGCAGGTTTTGGTAGAACAACCATGCAGATAAATTATTGTAAAATTATATTTTCTTGTGCATAGTATTAGAATATAATAATTGTAGACATTAGGGAAGAAATCGGATTGTGTTTAAAGCATTCAATATATATTTTATCTTTATACCTACGAGGTACACATCAGCTAGTCTGCGACTGAAATGCTGCAGGTACTTATATATATTATAATATGCGATTATTATATTATTATTATTATATAGCCATATACGTATGTCATATACATGTCGTATGTGTAATGAAAAAATCGATGAAAAAATCGTTACGCAACACTATCGTATCGGAGCATTTGGAATCGTTTCAAATGAAGCACCTCATACGGCAACAATAATACTAATAAATAATAATGTATACATTTTATCTATACGACCATAATAATATCTGCAGTATAGGTGCAGACCGTACGAAATTTTAGCGATAAGGCGATAAGTCTATTTTATATAACGTTGAGTCTAGATAACTGTACCTAAATAACAAGGTACCTCTATACCTATAAAACAAAACACGTGCGGATTATTTGTTTTAATAACCCTGCAATAATCCCCATCGTTTTCTCAAGGTTCTACGTTGAACAATAATATACAATTTAAAATATTTGAACAATGTTATATAATATTAAGATACCGCAATAAAAAGGTTATTTTTACATAATTTTCTGGTATCTCACTGTAGCGCAAGAAACGAGGCACAGTCCTTATCCTGTGGATTCTTATTTGATATTATAACGATAGATGTTGTAGGACTCACTATATATGTAATACAAGAGGTGATCGTTAAATCAAAGTTTGTAATTATGTGAAACATTTTTTTTTTTAAAAACAGGATCTATAGGACTATAGTATCGAAACGATTCCGAAAAACTGTCATATACCTACATTTTAATATTATGTAAGTAAATTGCGTGGATAGCAGCAGATTTAATAACACGGAGTTTATTGAAATAAAAGAGACGGTCTTATTATAAAAATTATTATAGAAATACTATTAGAATTCAAATCATCTTGTAATCGTTTTTAGAACGCCGAATAATTATAATATTGCGAATTGCGATCGCTTTCAAATTAATAGTAAATCGAAAATCAGATCTACAACACTACACCACCTGTTGTCCCATTAAACAGTGCCGCAGTGGCTCATTAAAAAGAGCGCGTAGGTACTTATATATTAGTTATAAACATTATATGTATATGTACATTATTCCGCTTTATACATGTACCTAAATATTATAATGTTTGGCTTATAGTTATTATTCATTAGAAACTGTAGCTTATCTTAATGTGGCGACCGATCACGGTATATAAAATTGTATTAATATGTTCAATTCAAATTTAGATTTAGCCAGATAGTTATAGGTACTCGAATTTTCGTCAAGACTTTATAATGCGTCATAATATAATGAATAATGATCGTAATCAATTCAAAGCATATTTCTTTAAAACAAAAAACAATTTAAAAATGCAATCTTCTGAGCCAATTTTACTTGGTTTCGCATAAAGGTCTCTCTCCGTACCTAACAATAACGAGCACACCATAAACTAGCTTATAAAGGTTTGAGAGTTTAAGCTTAAGCTCAATCTAGATTGCGGTTCAGTTTCAGTAAAGGTTTTCTGCTTTTAAAACTATTACTTAATTATTACTTTCGAGCCACAGCGATTATTGCAATTCATATTATGTAATAATTTTTGATTTGCCTAAACG